ATCTGAGATGTTCATTTTGGCCGAACGAACCACTGCCATTGAAGGCAGCGGCTCGGCAGAATGACAAACTTGGGATATTCGTCGTTCTCAGCTCCTCTGGACGAGCTAAGTCCAAAACTGTGCTTTGCAGCTTCAAAAAATATCAATAACCGCTTTTTTAGACGTGAAAAGTGCATTTGGGCGGACAGCGTACGCCTGCCCTCTAGAGCGCGATTGGCTCATGAGCGCAGATACCGTACCGACCATATTCACGAGCCAATCGCGCTCTAAGGCAGGCATACGCGGTCCGCCCAAATAGCAAATCTCACGTCTGGAAAAGCGAGTTGTTGATATCTTGAGCTACATTGCACAGTCTTGGACTTAGCGCATCCGCGGGAACCAAGAGCAATGAATATCCCGAAAGTGTTATTCTGCCGAGTTGCTTTTGAAGCATGAACTTTGTGCAGTAACTCAGTTCTAAAGCGTACTTGTCTGTGACGTTGCGTAGATGACAGCAAACCATATTTGATACCTCCTTTGCTTTCTTCCCTGCCGAAATTAAGCCTCCCATAATTTCTGTGGCAGACCCTGACTTTGAGCCAGATAAATGCTGTATATGCACTGACTTGCTTGCACGCATATGGTCAGTGATAGTTGCATAATTTAGTAGTAAAAAAGCGTCAACGAAGGTTTTATTGGTTTGGATAAATAAGGAAGGCAACCGGAAATTGTATAGCGTTAAATGGAACATTATTCAATCAAGAGTACACAGTGCATCTTCCGTACACCAGGATCCAGTTGCACAAGCTGTGCAAGGAGTTCCTCTTTTGTAAATAACCTGCTCCACATAGTTTCCTCTGAATTACAAAAATACGTTGAAAAGGTCAAGAAATCATCACATATTTTTGAGAATCACCTAGGAGAGTAGCGGCAGAATGTGACAAAGTCGTCGCCGCATTTTGCGATGGCACATCCAAGCTTGCGGGACGTAGACCACCCCATCTTAAAGGTTACCATTGAATGTTTTGTTTCACATTTCGTCATGAAATCAAGCTAGGTTTTCCACAAAGGGCAATGCACCGACTTGTGTAAAAGATTCAATCGGAGTGCCGACATGCTTTTGTCGGAAGTATACTTGCAAACCGGGACCTTCTTCAGTGCGTATCACCT